TTAGGGTGCGTTTACTTCTGAGTTAGCAGTGCTAATTCTGATAACCGGATGTGACGTCATTAGCACGTGTATTCGTGCTTGCTTGTCCAATTCGAAAGTGAACACATACGCTAACAAGAAATATGGCGGTTTCCAGTCATATTTCTTGTTAGCGTATGTGTTCACTTTCGAATTGGACAAGCAAGCACGAATACACGTGCTAATGACGTCACATCCGGTTATCAGAATTAGCACTGCTAACTCAGAAGTAAACGCACCCTTAGAGATATGATGATGTGAATGCACGTGATTCATGGTTGTGATAGTAATAACTAACTACTAGACTACTACTAATTACTTACTCACTATTTTACTAAGAATAATAATTAAATTACTTATAAATAGCTACAGACTGATATGTAGAGCCTATATAAGAAAACTGGTAAAACTGATAGCCACTTAGCCACTGATTATCAGTTCTTACATTATTATAATATAATATATTAATATAAATTAATTAGTAGAATTACCTTTGCTATTATTTAACTTAACTAAACATTTAAAGTTAATTATCTTTATCTCAAGTGTTAAACCGAACCAAAGTTAACTTTACTACCTAAATGTGTAAGAAGTTTTACTGATTTACTGTATCAGTCTTTACCAGTATAAATAATAAAAGTTTCTTAAGTATTTAAAAAAAATGTTTTATTTCTTTAAAAAAAAAGCATAAATTACTGGATAGATAGATAGGTAACACTTTATTGCACCAAAAATATATCCGCGCTGGATCCAGCTGGAATGATGTTGATCCAGCAAAAATCCACCTGGATTGAAAACACTGCTGGATTGCAATCCCTACATGGGATATAATAATATACTACACTAATAATGGATTTTTTCATACTTTTCGGTTATCCGACTTTTCAATTATCCGACCAACCCCAGTCCCCAATTAAGTCGGATAATCGAGGCTCTACTGTATTTTATTAATATTTTAAAAGTCGTTTCATCAACTCGTTCGTCAGAATTAAGCGTATTTTTGCAGAAATGGTGAAAGCAGATTTAAAACAGAAACTCAACTGAAATTGCATTTAAAATTTTGATGTATAGAAAGACACCGCAAACAATTACTTTTTCAATGTAATACATGTAAACAGACTTCTACGTGTGGGGAGGTTTTAGAGCAGTGATTCTTCGAAATAATTTACATATTTTAAAATAATTATTATATTTTTTTTGTATTAATGTAATAAATGTACTAGTAGATATGAAACAACGGACTTTTCCTTATTTTTATTATTAATTTTAAGTATAACGTGTTTTAAAGATACTTAACATTAAGAACACAAATACTTTAGTATAAAGGGTAATAAATGTATTGTGCATGTAATCTCTAAAGAAAGATGTCAAGACTGTAATTAAGCATCTTTGGCAAATAATCAATTATTTGTGGAAATTTTCTGATGATAAAAGAATTTTGTTAATCTATTGATTACAATCTGACAATGTCAGTATTGTTTAATTTAAATATAATGTATAATTAAATGTATTAACATCATTAAAATATTTTAATACGTACTCTATACTACGTGTTTATTTTTATCTTTTTGTTTTGTTTTTTACTAATTGTTTTAATACAGTATTAAAATAAATATATTCATATGCACAATCGTTATTTCTTCGTTTCTTATATTCCAATTACAAATATCTGTAATTAGGAATAATATAAATATAAAAGAATAAATTTAACCCAAACATTCGTGACGTCAGGAAGACAGGACGCTATAAGAATTGTATGGCGGTGCCATGTAATCGAGTTTTGCACAGCTGTGCGTTGTGATTGGTATAAACTGATCACGTGACTTTAAAATCAATAACATATATGGCGTAAGGAGTTTTCAGTCTGTGTATCTTTAGTCTGTTCCTTCATTTTTATATTTATAATATACTGAAAATTCTCCCGCAGAGCACGACGGAATATTTTTATGAGAAAATAAAGATTGAAGAATTGAGAGGAGCTTCAAGTGGAGCTTGACGTTTTAATGCNGATTTACTGGCAGTCAAAAATGAATTTGAGTTAAAACTAGTTTTAACTAGACAAAACGGGTTTTAACAAAGACATTCAGTATAAACTAGTTTCAACTAGTTAAAACGCGTTCTAACTAAAATCGGGTTTTGACTGTAACATATATACTAGCAGACCCCGCCAGCCTTGTTGTGGCTCAAAATGTATCTATTATAAATGTGTTATAACACTTTTTTCGTGGGGGGGAATTTTTCGAAAAATTTTTTCTTAGTGTACATTCTGTTGACGTACCCTATTAAAACGCAATCATAAACGCAAAAACCCGCATCTAAAATAGTATAATAGAAGCCAAGTTCTTCACAGTAAGCCTTAATCCTGTCCCTCTCCCCCGCGGGGGGAATATCGAAAAATCCCTTCTTAGTGTACATTGTGTTGACGTACCCTATTAAAATGCAATCAAAAATGCAAAAACCGCATCTAAAATAGTATAAATAGAAGCAAGCCTTACGAGGAAGGCTTACCGTAAAGAACTGTCCATCCCCCATGTTTAACGGAATAATATACAGCCTATGTCCACCCTGAAGTTCCATTCTAAATATTGGTGAAAAAGTTTTTGAAATCGGATGAGTAGTTTTGGAGATTACCTGCTGCATCCAAACTTACATACAAACATTACCTCTTTATAATATTAGTATAGATGCCATATTTGTAAGAAGCCATTCAAGACTGAAACCACGCTAAAAGAACATTCGAAAATTCACATTGAAAAGTGTAATGTTTGTAATAAAGAATTTAAAAGTAAACGCAGTTTAATCAATTACCAGAAAATTCATTAAGACGAAAAACCGTTTCGTTGTGAAAAATTCATTTGACGTTTTTACCAAAAAACATGTATTAAAATATTTTACGAAGCCACTCGCAACGAAGACAATTTTCGTTACGTTTGTGAAGTGTGTAACAAGGGATTTTATTAATATTTTAACAGTCGTTCCATCAGCTCGTTCGTCAGAATTAAGCGTATTTTTTGCAGAAATGGTAAAAGCAGATTTAAAGGAGAAACTCAACTAAAATTGCATTTAAAATTTTGTTGTATAGAAAGACACCCCAAACAATTACTTTATCAACATAATATATGTGAACAGACTCTTACATGTTGGTTTTAGAGCAGTGATTCCTCGAAATAATTTAAAAATTTAAAATAATTATTTTATTTTCTTTGTATTAATATAATAAATATACTAGAAGATATGGAACAATACAAACTTCTTTTTACTTTTATTACTAATTTTAGGTATAACGTGTATTAAAGATAGAGGAGAAGGTGGTATTATGGAACCCCAATTATATTTTAGTGAATTGTAAACGAAATATCATAACTACACCCACATTTTTTGTGCCAAAAGTACTGGTAACTAATAAACTAAATGTTCCTAATTGGATTTTTCGCTAGTGTAACTATAAGTATGGTTTTTGAAAACTTTTGTACAAAAAGTCCGAAAGCAGGCTTAGAGAAAATCGGGTGGTAATATGGAACCTTACTATATATTTTCAAAAAAATGCTTTAATGTAGCCAAAAACAAATAGGAAAGGACAAAAAATGTTAAATAATTACAAAATTATTTACTCCAATGTATTTTATCGCAAAAATGCTTTTATAATAGAAAAATATGACCTCC